AAGACGTTGAAGATGACGAACGCCCCGAACGCACAAGCACATTAACAACCTATAAAAACTTGGAAAAAGTGGAAGAAATGGTTATAAACCATCAGAGAAGTCGCTGAATATGTTGGTATATTGATTGGCTTATCCCATGAAATTTTTTCGAATGTTTTGGGTATGAAACGCGTGGCAGCAAAATTTGTTCTAAAATTGTTAAATTTTGAACAAAATTTTTGGCCAAAAACAATACTGTAATGATGCCCCAGCCTCCATATTCGCCAGACATGCCTCTGTCTGACTTTTTCCTATTCCCAAAAATAAAGAGAACCTTAAAGGGCCGTCGTTTTGCAAGCATAGATGACATTAAAAGCGCATCGCTGAAAGAAGTAAAGGCTATCCCAAAGATCGAGTTTTAGAAGTGTTTCAAGTATTGGAAGAAGAGCTGGCACATGTGCATAATATCCAATGGGGACTATTTTGAAGGCGACAACATTAATGTAGATGAATAAATAAATATTTGTTTTAAAAAAACGAAAATTCCCGATATTTTCTGAACACACCTCGTATACTTGTACTGAGATGAATCTTTAAAATAGAATAGCTTTTTTTCTGTGTAGTTATTTTTGACTAATTCCTTTTTAGAGGGTTGGTAACAGAGAAATAGATCTTCCAAAAAAGCAGTCTTAAAAAATTAAACAGACCATAAACCCAAGGGGTTTATATAGTAATTAATCAGAATCTTGTTTGTTTTCATTTAAATATTCAGTATCCATTCAGGGTGACCAAGTACAGTGCTCCACTTTTTATACACAAGGGTCCAACGATATCAAAAGAGCAACTATAGAATATCCTGCTTTAGCAGCAGGAGAATCCGCGTTGCGGCCTGCATGCAGATTGTCCTAGAACCCTTAAAGTAAAATATGCAACACCAGGCGCACCGTGGGACGAGTTGATCAATTTTGTGAAATCGATTTGGCAAATTGCTGATAAGTCATCACCGATAAAAATTTTGATCATCCGATGAAGATTGTCAAAAAAATACTGAACGAGGCAGGGGTGGATTCAGAAAATATTTTAAAACCCCCTTATTTATGAAATTTAAAAAGTATCACTTTTTTCTAAAAACTTCGCACTGTGCACGCGCAAACCGATTCTCGACTACAGGGGTTGCCCTCGGTTTTTCTTTGTGTAGCCAAAGACTTTTGTGTCGCAGGTTGTGATTCCATCGGAATTAAATTTGCATGTATCTGTTCTTGTATGCCCCCGGAGCAGGCATAAAGGAAACATCTAAAAGCTTTAAAGAAATTAACTTAATTATGCATATTTGCTCTTGCAATCGTCATTATGTAAATAAAGTTTTTTTGTGTTTTTTGATTAAGAAAAGCTTTTATCTGGATGGAAAAGGTACCGCAGCATCTTTTACATTATATTTAATTTTTTTTTAATACATGTTACCTATATTAATAGTGTCAAAATCTCCGGATTTTTATTTTTAAAAATATGCAATCAATCTAACGATATATGGTTATTGACACATCTTTTGACACACTGTTAAAAATGTTTGAAAAATTTTACTAATCAGTTGCATAGTAAAATTAAAAAATGTTGTATTGTATTTCAACTTTAATACGCATTTGTTGTATTATTTCATTCTGTTATAGCCAAAGTACTAAACAGGATCCAATAAATTATTGGCAATAATACAATGTTTTTGTTTTTGTCAGATACTTATTACAATTCTGTATTGTAGAATTGAATTTGAAATTTTGTAAAATTTCTATACATAATCGAAATTTAATTTTACTAAGATAATCAATAAAATTACTAACCAAAATTTGCTATTTGATTTACAATTAGTGTTTGGAAATATACAAATCATTATTTATTTTATATAAATTGTTTGCATTTTTACTAAAAAAATTTTTTTGTAAAATTACAAATAAGTGTATACCAATACAAAATTATAATACAATTTGAGTAATCTTCCAAGACATGTTGGGAAATCTACTAAGATAAGTTGTATTTTAGGATCTATAAGTATGTATAGACGCATTGTAATTTTACTAAACAGTTCGACAGTTTCTAATAAAAAGCATCTTAGATTTACAAACGTTGTTTGTAATTTGATTTCCTATAATGTTATGTGAAATGCATAGTATGTACCGATTGCGGCAATCACGTGATGTTCTTACATCTCGCCTCGATTGACTTGGGTGGACAGTATATAAGCTCAGGTGTCTTTCGTTTTTGATGTGTTCCAATACACCAAATTGCCCAACATTGATAAGACCCAAAATCTGTCTAGCTCTCGGTATTTTAAATTGGTGGAACGCACTTAAAACAAAAACTCTGGCGAGGTGAAGGTTCAATTTTTTTAAATCTTTACAGTAATGGGTCAAGAAAGTTTCTTGAAGAAACTAAAAAAATTCGAGGGTTTTTTTCGTAGTAGATATAATTACAATACCATCATTGGTAAATTACTAAATATTTTTAGTGTAATTTGTTGTACAAAATAACAATTTTTGTATTGTAATATTGCGAAACGAATTCAGTTCAGTAAAATTGTAAAATATATTTTATCTACTCCTATTGGATAATTTTGGTGTTTTTCCGTGAATATTGTTAAGTATTATAAATTTCCTGCCTAACAACGTGAATAATAAACTCAGTATTCACGTTGTTAGGCATCAGTGAATGGTCGATTTCAGTATTCACTTTGATTTGAACCAATCGGGTTTTAAATTGGAAGAAGGCGACTATAATAACATTTAAAATTGGTAAAAAGTAAGGTTAACCATTGGAAAGATGTCAGGTTTTATTTATTTAATTTTGCAAATCATTTAATTATCTACTTATTGAAGTAGATAAAGTATAGTATTACATTCGAGACGAAAACCTCATCCTCGCGTGAATATTAGCCTGGATTATCTCTCGTATAATAATATACTATTATATAAATACAAAGCGGTGTTGCCGGCTTTGAAATGTCAAAAAGAGGTTTGTTCCAATAAAACGGTTTCTGTCAAAATTATATCAACAGTCGGTTTGACATAATATGGGAGGCAAATTGTTAAAAAATGGAAGAGGATCGCCTTTTAATATGTTTGGTTGATCAAAACTCAATTATTTATTTTATTTATGATGAAAGATCTGGTAATTATACGGATTTTTTTTCTGAAAGACATTAAAATAATTTTTTACGTCCTGTTTTGGGGCCCCTACCCCGGGGGCTTAACTACATTTATCGAAAAAACAAAAGAAAACTTTTTTGTAGATCAGTTTATTTTTAAATACTAATCCTAAAAATGTATTATGTTCAAAACTTTGACCTAAGATATCTTTTGAATGGATAGGTTTACGTTTGCAGAGCATTTTTTTCTGAATAAAATTAAAAAAAAAACAAGTCTTTAGGTCAATTATTAAGGTCGCAAATTAGTTTTGACCGGAAAAGTAGCGTTCCAACCCACCGTGCGACGCCGCGGCAAGCTATTGTTTTCGGCGTGCGATTGTTTCGTAATCGTGACGGAACCCACGCGCAACCGCGCGCCCATTGGCCGGCAGCGATTAGCGCTCGCTCAGCCATTGGCCGGACACTTGACGGATGAGTTGCTTTTGTTTGCACTCCTGACAGGTGGGATAATAGGCACGCAGAACAATGGCGAAACGCCTGTGAACGTTGCCGCGCAGATTCCGGCCGCCGCCAACTACGCGACATGTTGCCCACACGAAAGTTTTAGGTAAATGAATTACTCAAAAATGACTAGTTACTAGTTATTAGTGGCTGCTTTACTTATTCCTTGGTATCCTCAGCATTTAATAGCGCAATCTTATGTAAAATTGCCCCCCAAATACGAAAATACCGTCAAAAATTATGAAACTTTTGACGACATTTTCGGATTCAGGGGGCAATTCTACATGGAAATGTTCGGGAAGAAAATTGCTATTGACGAGAATTATTAGTGGCTGCTTTTTCGCTATGACAATTTGTCATTTTTAGAGAGTACTAAAGATTACATCTAGAATATTTTTGGGGTTGCCAGCTATCTTTGATCAAGCAGTAAAACTAGTAGTTATTTTTATCTAGCCTAAGGTATAAACTGTTGAATAGCGAACAAGCTGAACATTAAAATCGCCGTTTAACTAATTGAAAATTGAGCACAAATAATAAATCCCAACACCAAAAAAGGTAAATCCATTCGGCAAGTTATTAACGCAGATAAATTTAACACATTAAAGTTTATGTAAAAGGAAACAAAAACGACAACATCTCGTTTGTGTAATTAATTTTGTTTAACAATATTAATTGCAATATTACTAAATAAAGATAAGTTTTTTTAATCCTTAATAGATGGGGAAAGTGTGGCAAAATTTTGTATTTTTAAGAATTTAAAATTTTACAATATTTTATACACTTTTTATCCTTCCCTTTACCCATCATTATTATCCCCATATTTTTTCAATAACAATCCGACCAAATAGAAAATATTTAGACCCGATTTTAAATCGAACACATCGCCGTCCATTCTCAAAGCATAGGTGATTATTTTTACACATCAATTCTCAGTAAGAGAGTCTTATTTGACAGTGTTGCCTAGGTTTTTAAATACAATATAAGTACAATGGGTTCTCACTTGAAATAAAAAGTATAAAATTTTGTTTATAAGATTTTCAATAAAAAAATAAAATTGGCAACGGCGTAGAAAATTATGATGTGTCGTTATTACTATCATATCCGGATGATTTCGGATTTTACCTGTCGCTGCAGTCAAGTTCGCAGAGTTGTTCTTGTGTGTTAACTTCGTTTTGGTACACTAAACTGTTCATGTAGCCCTAGAGTAACCACAATAACAACCGATATGTCAATAATCAATGATAACAAAAAAATTCATAATTTTTTGTATTAAAAAACAGTAGCTTTAATGCAAAAACGATACATAAAAAACTCTTGTTTTGCGATTATAAATATTCCAGTGCAAGATGGAAATAAATTTTTCAGTAAAAATCTGCTTTCTTACCTTTGCGGTTTCCTGATGGTGCTGCTGCTGCGTCAAAAGCTGTTCCCTAACCATCTGAAGTTGAAATATTAATTCCGACAATTTTCTGTCTTTTTCCATAAAATTGTCGCCGGATAGTGCCTGCTGAATGGCGGCTGTTGACTCCATATCGCTGTAACAAAGTATTATCTTCATATCTCTATTGAGAGGAGGAAATGAGAACGGAAAGCGGCTCACAGAGGTTTTCTTGTGACGACACCGCCTACTCCGCTGATAGCGGCACCTTTGTTTAGCCTCGAATCACAATTGTCTTTGACAGTGTGCCTAGTTCGTCTTTGCAAATGTATACTTGTATCATCTCTTGTAGGGGTTAGAGAACGTTGAAAGGATTTCAAGAAATGCAAGTGCACGTCGTTTCTCATGTAAAGTAACCGCAGTTTTAAAATTTGATGATTTTGGCATCATTGTGCAGGGCCGGCTCAAAGTTAATTTTCCAAAAAAATTACATTTCACGTAAATAATAAAATTCCTTAGATCGAGCCGGCCCTGCAATTGTGTTTAATATGACAATAATTTTAAGTTTTGCAATGTGCAGTTTACCAAATTTTCTTTTTATTATATGTACACAATTATTTTAAGATAACCAAAAAGCTGGTCATTTTAGAACTGCGTGATAACATGTGTGGAAATATTGTTTTGTCTTTATTTTAATATTGTTAAATTAATGACTTTTTACTCAGAGGTCAAACGTTTTTAAATATACTTATACAATGTGGAAGTTTCAATTTATTAAAAACGATAAAACCGTAATCAAAATTTAACAATTTGCGGTTAATAATTGATAATGTTTGACCTAAATGTTTTTTAGAAAAAATACTAAATTTAATCAAATGAACAGAACATCCACTAAATTTACATTTTAAAGAATAGCCAAGACATTTATAATCGAACATTTTTGGCTGGCACCTTTAGGTGCTTCATATTTGACACCCAGGCAGTTCAAATAATAACAAAACATAATTTATAATAAAGTTTGGCATTAACTACAATACACTTGGCATTTGCTTCTATTTAACACTTTGAACTACTTTATATTGTCTTTGAAAAGTACTGTTTCGTTATTTATTGGTTAAGAAACTTTGTTATTTATATCCAAAATAGTACATACATATACCTATGTACATACATATACCTATGTATAAAGTTTAATAAACGCCACGAATTTTAATTATGCACGAGCAAAGCCTGCGAGCGAGTGTTAATAAAATACGTGTCAAGAAAAGTAAAAGACGCTTTATCAGTTAAATCTGGTTAACTGCACTACCACGGCGAAATCAAAAGGTCAGTACAAACGTTCATATAATCTTTTCAAATATTGGCATCAAGAAACCATTTATGAGTGAGTATGAGTATAAGAACGTAAGGCAGGCTCCATAAGGCGATTCCCGGAATTTTGTTGCCGGGCCGACCATACGCCCGATTTAGGCTAGTGGAGTTTAGGACTAGGAGGGGCAAAAGTTGTTTTTTTGGGAGCCTTGAACTGACCCAAAACTAAATACAATCCCCCTCAACCAGGGTATTAGTAATGACCCCATTCAGTTGGGGTTCATATTGGCATCAAGAAACCATTCAATACTTTTTATTTTTGTATTGAGATAATAAAATAACTTTTAGTATTATTCTGCAAGAAAGGCACTATATTTTAACGATTGTTTGACATTTGACAACTGTCAAGTAACTTAAAGCTAACTTCAGCCCGTGACTAAAACGTCATAGTAACAGTTTAACAATGTGTATTTGAAAGATTACTTAGTGTCATGGAAATATGTACGGTTATGGGCGTTTTAAGTGTGGAAGTAGAAAAAGTTATTTATGTGTTATGATAATTATAATTATTGGAAATACTATCTATCGACATAAATAAAATAGATTTGCAATATTCCATCAAACGATGCCTAATACATATCAAAACTGAAATTACTGCGATATACGAGGTTCATATTTAAATTTAATTTAAATTCCAGATTATAATTTTACCTACCAGTTAGATATTACTTCTGGAATATATATATTGGCTGTAAAATAAATTAAAATCAAACTAGTTTATTAACAAAAAAGGTATGAAATCGCCTATTAAAAGAGAAAATTTAATTTAAATTACATTAACACCAGAATTATTTGTTTGATTAATTTATATTTAAAATTATGAATATGTAATGAATGGGAGAATGTCGATAATGATTATTAAAAAAAAAACAAATGTCTTTCTTCGCTCGATTTGGGTTAATGGGATTTATTATCTATCAGGGGTCAAGGAAAACACTACAATTAGGCGCAAATTCATAATGCAGCATGCTCGAATTTTGAAGGATAAAAGATACATGTGCTTTATATTTACGTTAAATATAAAAGATTTCATCACTATAATAAAAACTACTTTTGTATGCATAAATGGTCCCAATTTATACCCTCGAAGAACCCCTTCTCAAACAAAAATGGGATTTGGACATTTCCTACGTTTCTCAAACAATTCTCAAAAGAAATCGTAGTAAAGCACAAAAGAGTGAAATTTCACTCAAAAATCACTCAATTATGTATCAGAAAAGGTCCACACCAGATTGAGTTAATTTTTTATCCAATTGACGTGAGTGAAATCTAAATTTTATGAGTAAAAATATATCATCAAAACTCAGTGATTTTGCTGTTTAGATTCAGGTAAATATGAATTGTCTTGAGTCTCATACGGTACGAAACGTGATGCTGCTGATTGGCGACTCAAAGGCGTTTGAATTGACGCGAAAGGGATGATGGGAAAAATGCAAAAGCGCTCAGGAATGAGTTTTTTTTTGCAAACAAATTAACAAATTGAGTAAAAGTCACCTAAAAAGAGTTTTTTCGCTTAATTAATCCTTTATGCGAGTAAAGTTAACCAGATTTGTTAAAAATATTGTCACAATTGGAAATCTTTGTAAAGACCCATTTTTAATTCAAATTGTACTCAAATATTTAACTCATTAAATTAACTCATAACCAAAAACAAAGTTACTCAATGAGATTTTTTACAGTGTATGCAAAACTGTTTGAGATTCTTTATGACCTTGAATGGTGTCCGCAAGTTATAACAGATGTGTCAAGAATTACGTTATCCAAATTCTGTTTCTAGCATGGTTTGTATATAATGTAATTTATGTAATACCAGAATAAAAACCTCTGGGAAGAGCTAACATCACTCAGGATTTGGCAGCATAAATAAAAAACTTACGAGTTGTGCGTGGAATTGGGCGTCGAAGATGGCGTCGGTCGCCTCTCCTCCCTAATGGTGCTGCTGTTAATTTTGGACGTCAACCTCTTGAGGACGTCGTCCATGGACCTTTTGAGCGGATGCGAGGAACTGTTGTTGTTGGCGAAGCTACTGTTATTGTTGTTGTAGTGCACGTTGGCTTTTATGTCGGAGGTGGGCGAGCTGCACTCCGAAGAGTTTCGCCGTCGCTCCTGCGGCGTGGGCAGACCGGAAGGTATGAGGAGGTTGCTTCCGGTCTCCGCGCACATGATGCGCGCGGTTTTTGGCGGCGGCGTGCGGTCCTCCTCCAGGTTATCGTCGACCTAAAGAGGACACGTTGTTGAGGAAGAGGATTTAACCCGAATCAGATCACTCACCTCGCTCCCGGATACGCTGGAAGACGAAGAGGATAGCTTGTAGAATGCGGAGGTGTTGTTGACCATGGGATGGGCGTCCTCTTCGGCTGCGTCGCTCAGGTTGTTGCTGCTGGTCTCGTCCAGGTCCGTCAGGCCACCTCCGTCGCTGCCGCTGCCGACTATCGTGGGCGGCAGGGGGGCGGTGGAGTGTTGCTGTTGTTGCTCGGCGGCGATTCCCTCTTGCAGCTTGGTAGGAGGAGATTTTCGCTTTGAAGACATAGTTCTGGAACAAGAGAAATGAGAAAGTTAGATATGTATCTATTTCTGCTGTTCTACAAAGAGAAAATTCCGTTTGAAAAACATTGCATAAAGTTGTCCAACATGCCATTGGAGCATAACTTTTTATAAATGTGCTACGTTATCCAAGGTACCATAAACACGGGTGACTTTGCACCCCGCGGGTGACTTTAGCCCTTTTATAAAAAAAAATTTCGCGCTCGATAAAATTAACATTTATAATTTGTTGGTCTAAACCTGTCAATTGAGCGATTCTATTGAGTTTATATTACAGGAAAATCAGTGTTTTAAAAAAATAAATGGGATTTATTACACTTTAAAGTTGTATATATTGCATTAGTGCAAAACTCTTAAAAATATACGCGTTTCAATTTCTATATTATGCGCAATTCTTTGGAATGATGATCCTTGGTTAACTACAGGTCGTTTTTTTATTGTTTTTATCAATTGCTATATGTCGCTGCTCACATATACAAAATAAAATATTGAGTTAATTTTATACCGAAAATACACTATGTAAGAGTATAACATAGTTATTATGAAAGAGCAACTCAAGACTCAAATTTTGGTATACAATGTTTATGATTGTTAAAACTACAAAAATGTTAAGATTAAGTTTGAAAGTGAGCTAAAGCCACCCGTGTGTACGGTACGTGGATTGTTTTTTCTAATTTTCTATAATTTGTTAGAAACAGTAAGATTTTATATTTAACCATTTGCACAATATTGCCAAGAAAAGGGTTGAAATCTGTCTTTTGTACAATTTTTAAAATATTTCGTATAAATATAGTAAAACTTTGAGTTAGAATATAAATTTTACAATATTGAACAATTTATTCGGGAGTGAAGCATCACACCACCTAAGATAACCAATGAAATGATTTCCCGCTTGAAATAAGACGCCGTCCGGTCGCTCAACTGCAATCTGCTCATCAGTTTGCAGTTTTACTTAGTGTTATGCAGTGTATCATTGTGAGGTTAGTACCACATTTCTGGTGAGAAATTATTGAATAATATTTTTCCGAATAAAGTTCATTTTTTTTATCTGGACTGTGGCAACGTTGCAAATTTAGGGTTTTGGTTGGTAAATACAGTTGTCAAGTTGGTCGCATTGATTAAAACAAACTAAGCTAGTTATAAATCTAATTGTGGTTATGTATAAATTATTGTAGGTTACATTGTGCAGTTGTCAAGTTGAGTTGTCGAAATTCTTAGTTAAAAATGCAATTAATTTGGCTTTGGTGGTGCTTGGATGAGTAAAATCATATAAAAAAGTAGTTAAATATAGGTTGCTTTACGGCCCAGAAGAGAAAGTACTCCTAGCGGATAATAATCTTCGCTTTGAAAAGAAATTAAAATTTTTTGTGAACGTAAATGTTGTCCAATGGTGAATAATGTAAAAATAATGTGTGATGTAATATTTATAAAACCATTTTCGTTACTTTTTTACTCCAAAAATATCCATAAGGCGATGTACTTTTTCTTCCATTGTGGCATTTGGCATAATTTCATCAAGTTTTGCCCTCAAAAAGGCTTTTACATTCGAATTCGTTGGTATTATTTTTGGAAGAATTATCTTTTTATTTATAAGTAATTGACAAGTAAATTATCAATAATAAATATTATTGTCAATTTGACAGTGTCGAAGTATTTAATTAAATTCTTTAGCAGAAGTACCATTTTTAAATACTAAAAATACTAAGTCAAACTGGCAGTCCAGATAAAAAAAATGATGATGATATGTTTATTTTATGTTGTCATTTGAGGTTAAAAGTCTAAACATTTACAAAAAAAAAATATTTGCCTTCCAGCAAAATTTTCTAAATTGAAGGATGATCCAATAATTAAACAAAAATGTTAATAAATCTTCCCATAATTTGCAGGACACGTAACAAAAATATGATACCTACAAGTAATAGGTGGGTCAAAATTAATCACATTGATTAAAAAACAAGTTTAAGAAATAATTTAATATTTTTTAATTGGGCAATTTGTCAATTCTAAATTTCACTTTTTCTACATTTTTTTGTCCATAAAAACTATAATTCCATATAATTGGGTCTATAAAGAAAGTTATTACAGGACTGAAAACACTTATATTACTATTAATCATTTTATAAAGTACTTGCTAATAATTTCACTTAATTAGGTAATGGTATTAGTGGATGAAGTCTGTAATCTTCGCCAGATGAAATATGACCGCTTAGTTACCAAAAATGGATATAAATTTCCGGGTTAAGATGCTCTTTACTTTACAATTTCCTGAACGTTAATTGCAGAAAACAGTTTAGCTTAAAAGGAAATTAAATGCTATAATTTTAGATCTTAATATCCTCTATAAGTTTTAGTTAGATATTGTTATTTTGATTAATAAATTAATCATTTTTTACAATAATTTTTAATCACCTTAGTAAATAATATACATAAGTACAAAAAACCTTTAGTATATATATATCCCTTTAATACTGGGCCACCACACTAATCAGACTTTGTATCACAAAACTACACAAAAATCAGTTTTTCCCATATTTTTTGTATGAAGCCAAACGCGTGTCGTTGATAGTTAAATTCACCGAACTCTACTTACTACTAAAACATAACCAAACGTTAAATCGCTTAGAACAATCAAAGAGCAACAGGGTCAAAAGCTTTTATCTTTACTATACTCACTGATTTGATCATTTTAAATTACAGACAAGCACAAACATCAAAAGAGTGTATGAGGTTTATTTTTAGTTATTAGCTTGCGAGGTTCTAATTGATTTATTAATTGTAGGTTTAATTTTTAATATTTGGAAGGGACACAAAAGAAAAAAATCTAAAACCAGATTTTTTCGGATTTTTGACCTGTTGCATAACCAACTCCCAATACAAATCATTAAAATAGTCAAGGTAAAATTTGGACTATCATCATTTTTGGAAATTCGATAACAATTATCAACTTTAACCCATTAAATATCCTTCAAAACGGGTCTAAAGTCAAATTATCAAAATTACAATTAAAAATCGAGCGAAATAAATAAGTGAATACCAACACGCACTGATAATTTGAGGATTGTTATGACAAATTTTATGTTATGGCTTTGTTTAATTTTAAATAATTGGTTGATTACTTTAATGTTAGAAAAAACGTTTCATTTCTGTTTGTTCCAAAATATCTAGTGTGTTTATCTTCTATTCTAGACAAAACAATGTTAATTATTCAAGACGCGCGCGCCTAATTCAACCATTATAATATTATCATCACCTAATTGTCAAGCCTTTGGCTAAAACTCAACTTTTCCAAACGCGTTCCAAAAACGTCATTTTCATTTAAAACTTGCTTTTGTTGTACTCTCAATATAGTAGCCGTCTGTCTGTAAAAAAGAACAAAAGGAAGACCGCTGTTTACTAGACAAAACACGACGACCAATAAAATATCGGATTTCAAACGGAAGACAACGCAGCATTCTCCAAATTATTTGTTTGACCACTTCATCCTCTATTATGTTTTTAAACACATTGTTCGAAGTTAAACTTGGTGGCTGGCGCAGCTGTTCGAGTGCATCCTCAAAATAACTTGACGAAATTGTCATTCGAAATGTTGTTGAATATTTTGGTCAGTAACCACTTTAAAATATTCATCATCTTGGAACATTTTCTTAAATCTAGTAAATCTAGGAGTTTGTAGTTTGTTAATTTTATTTTGTAAAATTTTAACATAATTTTAACAAGAGAACATATACCTACACGTGATTTCAGGCAGTCAATCAAAACATTTCCCACTGACAAAACGCATCAACAAGTTCAATTGACTTCAGCGTCTGCAACTTATGTTTCTGCTTACTTTATTCTTATTCGGAACTACTTCCCAGGATTTACATAAAATTTGGTTAATATTTGGTTAAAATAACAAATATTTTTTACTGTGTATTATAGTCATCAAAGTAGTAAAACTTGATGGTCCTGCACAATGCACGAGACTAATCTGCTCTGATTACTTTTCCGAGCCGAAATAATATTTATTGAAGTGTCCGAAAAAGTCCTCTAATAATAGATGGTGCTGTTGACATCTGGGTGATTTGAGCAATAACCCAGTAATGACGTAATCGCTGCTGATCGACAGTAGAAGCGAAACCTAGTAATAACAGAGGGCAGAATCTATTGTCGAACGTCGATGTACTGCATGTCTCATTGACTCTGGAGAGAGAGGAACGCAGGGGCGTAGAAGAGGGAAGTTTTGCAGAACTTGTTAGACAAACGTTTCGTCTGGTTAAAGTTACATTAATTGATATGAATTAGGAAAAATGCAAATCTTGAGATACAGGAAACAGATCAGCCAAGTTCGTATGAAATTATTTTTTTCATTTTATATACTTTTCTACGACACTGTCATTTAAAACAGTCTACCCCTCATCGAGACACACAATGAAAGCTCGTCCGTATAATGAGAGATACAATGCGTATCATCAGTTTCTCTTGTTCTTTGAGGAAGTCATTTTCCTGGGGATATTGAGGATGCTTGACCCAATCGGGATTTATTGTCTATATAGACGACGACGTCATTATATCGTTTATTTGATACATTGTATTTTTCTTTTGTGTACAGAAAATAATTTTCGATTGTTGCAAAAAGCGAAAAAAGTTATCATTTGATTAAAAGTAGCGGTAATGATATAGCAGTTAATAACAGAGTCGATTATCTTATTGCAAAGGAGTAAAATGTAAAGTGGTTGCAATAAAAAGGTGGTCTGTTTTAAATTGTATAAGGCTGTATAAGCAGTTTGAAACGAGCTAATTAAATAAAGCTGGTAAGATGTGTTATTATTTCAAGTTTTCATAAAAGATGAGTAATTTATAGATGAGAGAAGTTTTTGTTAATTCTTGTTCGTTATAAGCAGCATCTGAGAAAGGAAGTATATGCCGTATAAACGTAGAACAAGTGAAATAGTTTTTGTTTTTTAATAACAGTATCTATAAAATATCGGAATGCAATATAGGAATTAT